TCACCAAATGGAGGTTGTAAGGCTCCAAGTGAGTGGGTCCCGTGAGCACGTTCACCGTGTGGGTGACGTATAAACGTCGCGCGAGGCGTGTTTTTCCTGCTACACTTTATATCTACTGTGCAGCGACCGTTAATATCGGGGACTGCACAGTAAGCGAATTTATACAGAAAAAAACCTCGGGCTGGTCCAACCGCACTATAAAGCCTACCCGGCGACCGTATTCACGGGGACCGTATGTGGTAGGCGGCGTGACGGAAGGGAGGCGCTTTGAACCCGAACTCCGCCGTTGAGTGTACGGTCGACTCGTACACTGACGGGTTTTCGGAGAGGGTTCGCAGTGGCCTTTACACGGTAAACACTCCACGAGGCGGTACCGAACTATCGATAGGACCTTTGGGAGGCTCCGAAGCCGTATAGCTTTAAAGGGATTCTGGGTGCTTGCACCCTGAGGCCCTTACGTCGCGATCGCGGCAACGACTGCAACGTCCAATCATTTCCTCGCGCTCGCGGTCGCGTCACGCGCGGCGTGCACTACGACCACTTATGCGTTCGGTTGATTGTTTGTTCGAACTCTCTAATCGCAGCAACGATGAGAATTCTTTTACAGAAAGTCCAAAATTAGTTTTAGCAGATAAGCGTTTCGCTTGTTCTGCGGAGCGCGTACTGAAGGAGCGAGATCTTCGGGGATCTGCTCCCGTTGGCAGTCGGCTCGGGAATACTCGAAAAATTCGTCGAGGATCGACAGACGAAGACTCGGTCGTGCCTTGTCGTCGCGACGTGGCGCTGTCGAGTCCGACCGTCGATCTCGTTTCAATAAATGGTATGGTTCTCTCTCTCGACGCTGACGTCACTAAGCCGTTTAAATGGCGTTTGAAGCGAATCTTCGCGTGAGGTCGGCGTACGAAAACACGTAAACGGCCGCGGTTTTAAACTGTCGGTACGCCGAACGAACTCGGCGACCGCGTAACCTTCCGCAGTGTCACGTACACAAACAGATACGGGAATCACGGTCGAGATTTATTCTTTTCCCGGACGAACGCGATTTTAAATATATTTAACATATTTAAACAATTACCATTTACTCTCATTGGAAAATTATACTTTTGTGTACATGTTATTTGTGAACGCTAATCTTTTGTTTTGATTAATTTTACTAATACATGGTGTCCGTCTCGCGACTCTTGATTTGTATCCAGCATCGAAGGTACTTGTGTGTTACATTAGTCTTTACACTGGCGACTGGTTCTGAGGATGTTCTTTCAGCACCTTTTTCAATTATTTTTACATATGACTCATGTATGGGGACCGAAACGTTTCGTGGTTTGGGTGTTGGCTCGATCATCTAGCATACAACCTCTCGGATGGGGTTGACTCATGCCATATGTGAGCACCCGGCCCAATTTTCATATCTTATATGGTAATGCCTCACCACTATAAGGTCTCAATTTCTAGTATATAAGGGCCGCGTTTTCTTACTCGAGAGCTCAGTTTTTCTAAAACTCTCGACAGAACGTTACCCTGACACTCAGCAAGATCGGGCTATAATCCCCTTCGAGCAACTTATCTACATTAGCGGTTTTTATTTGTGAGTGTTCACTAGACTAATCGAGTAGTAGCTCCCGCGAACGCGCTGCGTAAGCCGACATAGATCTTTCGCCGTCGAGGCAACATAGTAATAGTATTAGTTCAAATCATCGACAATTGTACGTAAACATCGATCAGAATATATTCAAGTAGTTACCCTCACTTGGCATTATTCACTTACTACAACCCTGAACCCTATTGATAGTAGACTGGGGTATCTCACGAATTCGGTAAACTTTTACTACTCGAGGTGTACCATTACAACAGAGAAAGATCCTAAAAACATCCTAAAAACCTACGTGGCTCTCACGGTATAGAGCCTTGGTTTGTTCACATCCTTCTAACAGCCCCCAGGGTATAGAGCCTCTGGTTCGTCTGTGAAACCATACATTTTCCTTATAAACCTAACCCCGTGGCTCCCTGGGATATAGAGCCCTTGGTTCGTCCATGTAACCTCCTCCTACGCTCTCCCAGAGTATAGATCCCCTGGTTCGTCCGGACCTCCTGTCACTTTCCAAACCATACCCAAAACCACCGGTCGAGTACTGCCCTCGACCGAATCCAGGATCTCGCGCTCGTAACATTATATAATCACTTTCCGTTTTTCTCCTTGTGACCGTTCCCCCGGGTGACGGTCCGTTTCGGATCGGGGGACGCGGAGGAAGGTGGTGGCCGACTCAGTCGGCTGCCCAAGGTTCGGTGCGTTGAGTGACGGAGGCGGTTTCGGTGGTGTAGACGTTTATTCGCTAATCGTGTACAAGGCGGACGTAGCCTTTGGGCTACTGGACGCGGACAGTGTCTGCCACAAACGGCGGACGCGGACAAAGCTTAAGACTAACGGTGGACGCGGACAATGTTTAAGACAAACGCGGACGCGGACAATGTTTAACGGCGGACGCGGACAATGGTTAAGACGAACGGTGGACACGGACCATGTTTAACGGCGGACGCGGACAATGTTAAAGACTAACGGCGGACAGTGCTTATCGCCTACGGTTTAGCGGTCGGTTCGCTCGGTGGTAACGGAGGGAGCGGTCGGTCGCTCGGCGGTCGCGGATAGCGTTCGGTCGCTCGGTGATCGCGGAGAGCGTTCGGGCGCTCGACGGTTGCGGTGAGCGGTCGGTCGCTCGGTAGAGGGGGAAGGAGATACAATACCCTGCCGTCGCTTACCACAAGGCGGGCGACGGTGGCAGGGCCCGGGAAGGAAGACTAGGATCGGACGGTCGGTCACTATGGTAACCACTGACGGGCGGTGGGTAGTCGGAAACGGCTGAGGGGGGTGAGTCGGGTAGGAGTACAATGCCCTACTGCCGCTTACCACAAGGCGGGCGACGAGGTAGGGCCCCGGTAGGAAGGTAGGAGCGGACTGTCGGTCGCTATGGCGACCATTGACGGATGGGTTAGGTCAGAGCAATAGCCGTGGCGGGAGCGGGCTGAAGCAATACCCTACCGACGCTTACCACAAGGCGGGCGTCTTGGCAGGGCCCGGGTAAGAATACTAGGATCGGACGGTCGGTTACTATGGTAACCACTGACGGAGGTATGGCGGTTCGGTCACGAGAGTGCCCCTCGCACACTCGTGTTTCCAAAAAGTCGGACTCGTACAGATTGTGGCGTATATGATACTACGGCAATCTCTCACCACTAAATCAGGCTTCGGCGAGCTAGGCACGAGTCCGACGTCTCCGGCCGATAGCCCGGTTCTTATATTCCGCGGATGCGGTATTCGGTTGCGCGAATTCGCGGCCGCCTAGCGGTCGCGTGGCTAATTAGCGCCTCGCGAGATCGGTTGCGCGAAGGCGCGGACGCCTGGCGGCCGGGCACGGTACTATCGGCCGCGGAGACATAGCCGCGACGACGCTCGGTCAGCGCCTCGGAGGGGATATCGGCGTTACATCCTAATAGCAATAGTAGTTAGTTTTCTAATAGTAAAATGAATTAAATTCAAAATTTTACCTATTGTTGAATACGACTTTTCTTATTAGTGTAAATTTAATATAATTTTTCTCCCACAATCTGTTTCTCGCTTTTTATTTGTCACATTTGTTGTTCGGTAAACGAAAGCTCGCTCATTCCGCTGGCCAACTCGAGTTGTTTCCGGTCCTTTATGTTGCCAGATGCGGGATCGGTACTACGTTGCAAACGTCTTCGAGTCTCTCGCATCTGGCAAATGTCAATGTAAAAGAATAGCATTTTTGGAAAACGAAAGAAACGCGACACTCGAGTTGACCAGCGAAGGGCTATATTGTTCCGCGGGTGGTACGGTCGTCGAGGCCAAATGTAGGCACCGACGACAACGGCCATCGCCGACACGCGGAACAATATAGCCATAAAAACAGACGTAGACCAGACGCAACCCCTTGTTGCGTGGATAATCCGGAGTTCCGTTTCTTCCTCGATAAATTAACGCGGCCGTCGACTTGGGGAGGAAACCTCGGCCACCCTCGCCAGCGTGGCCTGGGACTTTCCTCCACCACCGAGGTGAAGGAGGAGCTTGCTGCCAAACTGGGGCAGGAAAATGGGTCCTCCTCTCCCAAGTCGATGGCCAATCAATCGACTCACGATTCCACAGAGGAATTTGCAAAACACCCCCAAGTGTACCTCTTGGAGGGGATCTAAGCTGAGGAGGAAACGGACTCCGGACACATTGGGCATTCTAGTTTCAGTCGTCAACCGACAAACCAGTTTCATTCTAGTTTCAGTCGTCAACCGACAAACCAGTTTTCAATTCTCGGTTCAGTCGTTAACCGACTAAGTCTAACAAGTCTAACTAACAAGTCTGTAACAGTACAGCAGTTTTACTTGAGTTGAACGCATTTTGATAAAGTAAGCGCGGGGGAAACAGTTCCTCCCACAGTTCAACGCGCTTGAAAACATTCATACAGTCCACTTTGTTATTATTAAAAATAAACCATTTGAAACCTCTCCAACACGACGACATCGCATCACTCCAATCCGACCTACAACAATTCGGGCGCGAACATTGGTCCTTCGAGCCGGATCGTGGATTGAGAGTACACTCGATTGCAAAGAGTGTGATACGGGGACAGTCGCCGTATCGTGTGACCCATCACGTTCGTGAACGAGAGAGGATAACTGCCAGTGTGGCAGTATACCTACGAGGCGACAGGCGCTTCATTCAGCAACCTACGAGGCGACAGACGCTTCATTCAGCTACCAAGGAGGCGACAGGCGCTTCGTGCAGCTACCCAGGAAGCGACAGCCGCTTCATCCAGTGGACCAGGAAGTGACAGACGCTTCTACGAGTCCAGCTCACCAAGGAGCAGTCCAAGGGCACGACAACAGGACCACCGATTCCTGGAGAATTGCAGAGGCCGTCTAAGCGAGTCCTGTGCAGACTCTTGTCTACGTCCGGTGAGTCGAGTTTTCATTTACTTCTCATTTTGCGCTGAACAATGGCCACCCCACGAGAGGATACTTTGAATAAGTTAGTCGAGGAACGCGGTCGCGTTAAATCGTCGCTCACGCGATTTAAGACATGTTTCGAGACGCAGCGAGCAACCACCGGGGCTGCTGCATTGGAGGAACGGTTGCACAGAAATCTCCATTTACTCGATAGATTTGAGTCGATTCAGGATCGCATCGATGCGATCACCGCCGGGACACCGGAAGAACACACGCAAAATCAAATTCGCGAGGCGTTCGAAAACGCGTATTTCGATATCATAGGCGCGGTTCGCGAACATGTTTCGGCTAAGCGTGCTCCGGTTCCGAATCCGAGCTCTACCGCGCAACAGACGTTTCGTGTAGATGCTGCATCACCCACAGCCTCCGTAGCGGCACCCTCGGTTAGATTGCCGTCAGTTCCGTTGCCCAGTTTTCACGGGACGGTCGGAGAATGGGTCTATTTTCGAGACAGCTTCGAATCATTGATAAACCAAAATACCGTGTTAAGCAATATCGAACGGTTTCACTATTTGAGATCAGCAGTAAAGGGAGACGCTGCTCGGGCATTGAAAGCATTACCGATGTCAGATGAAAACTACACGGCCGCGTGGAAGCTCTTGTGCGAGCGTTACGAAGACACAAATGAATTAATCGATTTCCACGTCGGTGCATTGTTCGACTTGCCGACGTTGCCAAAGGACTCACCGGCGAGTCTGAGGCAACTTTTAGACGACTTTAACAACAATTTAAAATCCTTAACCTCGCTGGAGGAACCCGTCGAAAAATGGGACACGATCTTGGTCCATTTATTAGCGACCAAACTCGACCGGAAAACGAGCGAAGCGTGGGATAAACGGGTCGCGGAAATAGGCCGTAAGAAAACGTTGGCAGATTTACAGACATTTCTCGAAAAGCAGTACAAAATCCTAATAAAGTCAGTTCGAGTAATACCTCCGGGTCCGTTCCCTCCGAAAAATAGGAACCCAGGTCAGAAACCGCAACCTCACCCCATGACGCTGGTTAGCATGCAAAGTTTAGAATGCCCATTATGTTCGTCGGATCATCCTCTCACACAATGCAAACGGTTTAAAGCTTTGACTCCGTACGCTCGGTTTATGAAGGTCAAAGAATTCCGTATTTGTTTTAATTGCCTGCGACCAGGTCATGGTTCAAACACCTGCAACAAGGGGAATTGCCACAAATGCAACGGCAACCATCATACGTTGATTCATTTAAAAAATGACTCGACGCCTACCGTAGATCCCGTGGTTGCAGATCCCGTCGTTAGTATAGCAAATGCAGTAAATAATACGCCCCCTCAGAGTTATGCAACTCATGACTCGTCGGGAAAAGAGCATGTTCTTTTATCCACGGCTATTATACATGTCCTCAACGACAAGGGACAAAAATTTGAATGTAGGGCGTTACTCGACCAAGGCTCGCAAGTAAATATCATAAAAGAGTCATTTGCGAAATTTGTCGGCTTGAGTTGTAAACCGACCCAATTAGCGATCTCGGGGGTAGGGGCCGCGGACGCAGGTAAACGCGCTCAGGGTAAGGCTCGCGTTACAATACAATCGCGGCAAAACGGATATTCAACTACGATGTCATGCATACTGATGCAAAAGATCACTTCCGATATTCCCAATTTTAAAATCGCCAAATCAGCATTGAACATCCCTGCAAATGTCAGATTAGCAGATCCATCCTTTGACAAACCGCGTGATGTAGACATGCTAATAGGGAATGGGCATTTGTGGGAGATAATGAGCGTAGGACAGAAACGCCTGGGACAGGGTCTTCCGGTATTGCTCAAATCCCAGTTCGGATGGGTTTTCGGTGGGAAAATTCGGGCGTCGCTCAACGCGGAGTCGCAGTCGTGCAATGTAGTCACGAATGATCAATTAAATTCACAATTAACTCGATTTTGGGATATCGAACAAATCCCAACACTCGGTCACCTTCCAGCTCACCCGTGCGAGGAGCATTTTAATGAGACGGTAAAGCGAGACTCCGACGGCCGGTTTATTGTTACGATTCCGTTTAACTCGGACCTGGCAAAGCTCGGCGATTCATATTCCATGGCGGAGCGTAGGTTCTTCGGCTTGGAAAGAAAATTGAACAGGACACCTGTTCTGAAAGCAGAATACGTGTCTTTTATGAGCGAATACCTCGCACTGGGTCATATGACTCAGGTAAGTCGGGACTCTCGAACGCAGGCCGGTCCTGCCTATTACCTGCCACACCATGCGGTGACAAAGGCAGCAAGCACAACGACCAAGATGCGCGTTGTATTTGACGGATCCGCGAAAACCAGTTCCGGATATTCTTTAAATGATACTCAAGAGATCGGTCCTGTTGTTCAGGACGATCTATTTTCCATACTCATTAGATTCAGACAGCATCAGATTATTTTGAGCGCCGACATCGCCAAGATGTATCGGCAGATTTTAGTCGCTCCCGAGCAGCGAGTTTTTCAACGGATTCTATGGCGCGAAGAACCTACGCTCCCATTAGAAACGTACGAATTGAATACGGTTACATACGGCACTGCGTCCGCGCCGTTTTTAGCGACCTGCGTCCTTCGGCAAATTGGATTGGATCAGTCTCATCTAGATCCAGTAATAAGTAATATCATCATCCACGACTTCTACGTGGATGACTTGCTAACGGGCGCGGAAACAGTAGAACAAGCAATAAAAATTAAAGTATCACTTGAGAAAATATTGCAATCTTCAGGCCTACCACTTAGAAAGTGGGCCTCAAATGTTCCGGCAGTGGTTCAAGAGGTTCTAACGGAATCCAGAGATCTGAATTTACAAGCAGAAAAGGACCCAAAGACTCTTGGACTACTGTGGGAACCATGCACCGATGAGTTGCGAGTCAGTGTAGAATCTCAACCAGTCTTACGGACTACGAAAAGAACAATTCTATCCGAAGTATCCAAAATTTTTGATCCGCTTGGGTTAGTGGCGCCTGTCATCATCCAGGCAAAACTAATTATACAGTCGCTATGGCAATTAAAACTCTCATGGGATGAATCCGTACCACAAGCGATTCATTCCGAGTTCCATGATTTTTATGCGGACCTCAGGTCATTAACACGGCTCGCAATTCCTCGGTGCGTATTGTGCCCGAATCCTGTGCAGGTAGAGATGCATGGGTTTTGCGATGCCTCCGAACGGGCATTTGGGGCGTGCATCTACCTGCGCACGATTTCAGAAACGGGCAAAGCATTGACCCAGCTCCTCTGCGCAAAGACACGCGTGGCACCGCTTAAAACAATAAGCCTTCCTCGCTTGGAATTATGTGGGGCATTATTACTAGCGCAACTTGTGAATAAGGTTCGAGTAGCGTCCCGCAGTCAAAAGGTCCAAGAATTCTATTGGACCGATTCAATGATAGCACTAGCGTGGATCAAGGGGTCCCCGAACCGATGGAAAACCTTTGTAGCGAACAGGGTTTCTGAAATTCAAACACTTTCGACGGGACCATGGAACCACGTACTTTCTGGGGACAACCCAGCTGATTTATTGTCGCGGGGAGTCAAGCCTTCCGCTTTGGACAAGCTATCTTTTTGGTGGAACGGTCCATCATGGCTCGCACAGCCATCAACGGAATGGCCAATCACTGGGTCTATCCCAGCAGAAGTTCCTGAAGAAAGGGCCATTTCTTGTATTGTAATAAGGGAAATCGCATCCCAAGTACCGGGGTTCCTATTAAAATTCTCAAACTACACACGTTTGCTCCGTGTGATTGCGTACTGCTTAAAATTCTATCACACAGTAAAACATAGAGTGAGTCTTCGTAACAATCGCACCACTCGCCCGTGGAGCACTCAATTGACGGTGCAGGATCTTGATCTTGCAGAGGTAGTCATCCTCCGATTAGTACAAGGTAATGCATTTACGCAAGAACTGTCTGACTTGCGTAAAAACCAAACAGTGACATCCAATAGCCCGCTGCGGTCATTAAACCCATTTATTGACGACAAGGGGCTCATTAGGGTGGGCGGTAGGCTTGCCAATGCGGAGCTAAAATACTACCAACAACACCAAGTGATTCTACCGAAGAATCACCATGTCACGCGAATGATTATTCGTCGTGCACATGAACGCGTTTTACATGCCGGTTGCGAAACGGTATTATCAATGGTTCGAACGCGGTATTGGCCATTGACGGGACGCAATCTGACCAAGGGGATAATCCGAACCTGCGTTAAATGTAATAGAGCTGCGCCAAAGGGTACCAGCTACCTGATGGGGCAGTTGCCTGCACCGAGAATACGAATAAGACCGCCGTTCTTTTCTACCGGTGTCGATTACGCGGGTCCTTTCTACCTGAAAGAAAGGGTCCGTAGCAAGACGACGACTAAAGCCTACCTTTGCGTGTTTATTTGCTTAGCCACAAAGGCCGTCCATTTAGAAGTAGCTTCAGATTTATCGACGGATGCCTTTTTAAATGCGTTGAAACGGTTTGTTGCGCGAAGAGGCCGGTGTCGCGAAATATATTCAGACAACGGCACCAATTTTGTAGGAGCACGCAATGAAATGCAGAGAATCAAAGAGTTCTTTGCAGACCAAAAACGAAGGGATACCCTCTCTGAATTTACGGTCACTGAGGGTATGCAGTGGCATTTTATCCCACCATACTCTCCACATTTCGGGGGATTGTGGGAGAGCTGCGTGAAGTCCGCGAAACGGCTTTTGACTCGAGTCGTTGGGGAAACTCGGCTAACATTTGAAGAACTGGCCACTGTTCTGGCGCAGATAGAGGCGTGTTTGAATTCTCGGCCACTATGTCCTGTATCAACCGATCCCACAGATCTGAATCCCCTCACTCCTGGTCACTTCCTCACCGGCAGCCCACTCATGGACCTTCCATATCCTGACGTCACTGACGTCAAACCTACTCGTTTAAGTCGGTTTCAGCTACTCCAAGCAATGTCGCAGCACTTTTGGAAACGGTGGCAGTTGGAATACCTCCATCAGCTGCAACAGCGACATAAATGGAAAATCGCTGTACCAGAAGGATTCGGAGTGGGCACGATGGTCGTCATCAAAGACGCTAGTCTCCCTCCTCTAAGATGGAAACTAGGAAGAATCACGGCTCTACACCCAGGCACTGACCAGATCACCAGAGTCGTTTCCATCCGGACAGCCGATGGAGTCATAAAGCGACCTGTGGCAAAAATTTGCATTTTGCCTACGGAGGATGAAAGTTCATCCCCAAAGGATCAGCCTGGATCGAGTGTTAATCGTGACACAAAAAACAATGAATCCGCGGCAGCCGAGCCTGCATGTGTATAAACTTTCTCAATGTTAAGTGTAGTAGAATATTTAGATTTACGTTGCAAGATCATCAACCATTGTACCATTTGTAAATAGTAGCTTAGGATGCCTTGCAATCGAATTAGATATAGATATGTGTTAAACTAGTACACTACCACTGTTGTTTGTTCCATGTTTTTGGTATTTATTGATATTTCTTTTGAACGACAGCCGTTCAAGGTGGGCGGCATGTTCGGTAAACGAAAGCTCGCTCATTCCGCTGGCCAACTCGAGTTGTTTCCGGTCCTTTATGTTGCCAGATGCGGGATCGGTACTACGTTGCAAACGTCTTCGAGTCTCTCGCATCTGGCAAATGTCAATGTAAAAGAATAGCATTTTTGGAAAACGAAAGAAACGCGACACTCGAGTTGACCAGCGAAGGGCTATATTGTTCCGCGGGTGGTACGGTCGTCGAGGCCAAATGTAGGCACCGACGACAACGGCCACCGCCGACACGCGGAACAATATAGCCATAAAAGCAGACGTAGACCAGACGCAACCCCTTGTTGCGTGGATAATCCGGAGTTCCGTTTCTTCCTCGATAAATTAACGCGGCCGTCGACTTGGGGAGGAAACCTCGGCCACCCTCGCCAGCGTGGCCTGGGACTTTCCTCCACCACCGAGGTGAAGGAGGAGCTTGCTGCCAAACTGGGGCAGGAAAATGGGTCCTCCTCTCCCAAGTCGATGGCCAATCAATCGACTCACGATTCCACAGAGGAATTTGCAAAACACCCCCAAGTGTACCTCTTGGAGGGGATCTAAGCTGAGGAGGAAACGGACTCCGGACACATTGGGCATTCTAGTTTCAGTCGTCAACCGACAAACCAGTTTCATTCTAGTTTCAGTCGTCAACCGACAAACCAGTTTTCAATTCTCGGTTCAGTCGTTAACCGACTAAGTCTAACAAGTCTAACTAACAAGTCTGTAACAGTACAGCAGTTTTACTTGAGTTGAACGCATTTTGATAAAGTAAGCGCGGGGGAAACAGTTCCTCCCACAGTTCAACGCGCTTGAAAACATTCATACAGTCCACTTTGTTATTATTAAAAATAAACCATTTGAAACCTCTCCAACACGACGACATCGCATCACTCCAATCCGACCATCAACAATTCGGGCGCGAACATTTGTACTTCCTCGTATTTTCTGTGTAAAACGTGTTTATACACGTAATAAATAATGATCAGTTTGAATTGAATGGGACTTCCTTCGCTACAGCATGTGTAACTAACATACAAATATTTAGAAATAATATTGTTTCGTGTTTAAAACCGTGAATATAAGTGTGCGCCACGGAATCGCGGGTTTTCACCCTTTTCAGGATGCGGAGTGACGGGAGGGAAAGCGAACTGACAAACTCACAATTTAACAATAAGTCTTTATATTTAACTTTACTGAGCTGAAGTCTAGCTCTCCGTTTAGAACAATGTTAACACAAAATTATTGAATAAAGTTTTACCGAATAAGTTGGTTCGGTGGTGATAGTGGCGGTGAGTTCCGGGGTGCACTTGCACGGTAAAAAATGAACGTACACGCGTCGCGGCAACGGATCTTTCGTGTCGTATTTCGACGCTTTACGAGCGCGTGTAACGCGGAAATTCCGATAACTCACCGTTAGGCGGGGAACTCGGTAAAAGTATTATGGTAACAGCAATGGTAATAGTAATCGTACTGCCGTTTTTAACGGCTGTGCGGGTATATACAGGGTGTTCGGCCACCTCTAGCAAAAATTTTAATGAGCGATAGTAGAGGCCAAAATAAGACGAAAATCAAGAATACTAATTTGTTGATGGAAGCTTCGTTAAAAAGTTATTAACATTAAATTCAAAAATTTCAAATCGTTCTGGAAAAAATTATTTTCGGTTGCGGGGGGTCAACTACAATCATTTTTGGTGAGTACACATACCTCCGAAATCCTATCTACTTTCGAGAAACAAATCGAGTAGGTGCTGAAATTTTTCGGCGAAAAAAATTTTTCAAATCGTTTTAAAAAAATTATTATCGGTTGCGGGGATCAATTACAATCATTTTTTATCATTACACATACCTCCGAAATCGTACGCACTTTCGAGAAAAAATTCCTTACTGAAAATCCAATTAGGTGCCTAAATTTTTCAACGGAGAAAAAAAATTGCAAATCGTTGTGGAAAAATTATTTTCGGTTGCGGGGGGTCAATTACAATCAGTTTTTGTCATTAGACATACCCACGAAATCCTACCCACTTTCGAGAAAAAAATAGAGAAGGTGTGAAATTATTCGAGAAAATTAAAAAATTGCAAATCGTTGTGGAAAAATTATTTTCGGTTGTAGGGTTCAATTACAGTCATTTTTGGTGAATAGACATACCCCCGAAATCTTGCGCATTTTCGAGAAAAAAATTCAGTAAGAGCGACACTTTAAACGTTAATAACTTTTTAACGAAGCTTCCACCAACAAATTAGTATTCTTGATTTTCGTCTTATTTTGGACTCTACTATCGCTCATTAAAATTTTTGCTAGAGGTGGCCGAACACCCTGTATACCGTGGTCGCTCAACGATCAAAAACGGCAAGTTTAGCATCGATCCAATCATCGATCGGGTCGATGCTGTGACGCGGCGCGGCGCGCGCATTCACGTCTGCGTATAAGGCCTTTGCCGAAATACGGCTCAGGACCGTACCTAGCGATATACGGGCGATGCTTTAGCTGTTGCGTAATTATTGAAATTTCTGGGATTCCGGAACAAATATGATATAACGTAAGAAATGTATGTGTGTTTGGACCGTGGGACCGTTGGCGTCGATGGTGTTTAGACTAAGGTAGAGTACGTATCGAGTGAGGTATTTAGGTTTAGGCTGAATTGCGTTCCGGGGACTGCGTCTCGAACGTGCGTTTGTTTTAGATTAGTATGAAGATAGGAATAGGAAAGTTTCGACTTGGATTGCAGGAACTCACTCTGCATCGAACGCTAGTCGAGAGCAGTTACAGTTTTACGCTTATGGTTTTTTTACGTTTATGTTTTATGTTCTTTTTTTATGTTCTTCATGTTAAATAGTTTTTTAGTAATATAAATAATATAGTTTTGTTCGGTCATTTTCGTCATGAGATGGCAGCACCTCATGGACTTGCCTTACACTTGACCATGGATGTCAAGGTCTAATCAATTAAAACAATTATTGGATGGCGTAGTGTATTGCCCCTCCAATTCAATGATTTTGGGCATTATTTTGGCCTCTTTGCTCATGCGCTTGCGCACTTACGCCATGCACAGCCAATCATATTTTGCCAACACCACATCACAAGTGCTACGTGACTCCGTCGACTATTATCAGCGACCACGCTCAATATGCGTCAGACTCGATACAACCTTGTCATCAGCGCACGTGTTTTGTAGTATTCCCGTCGAATCAAATATTCATTTTTAGTTGGAATCATTTAACGTTATCATTTATAATAAGTGTTTAACTCAGTTTAATTTGATTGCAATCATTATTGCCCTCGTATAAAGGACCCCGCACAGATCTTATGGAAAATGGCCCCGGTTAAATTAGCTGAACTTTTGATATGATGTAGTTCATTATGTTTTGATAAAAAGTTCCAACAGGCCCAAGCTCGTAAATTGAACATTTTCCGAGATACGGGGGATCAAAAGTCAATAATAGTGCGCCTTATTCTAGACTACCACGTTTTAGCATATTTGAGTGTAAGAAGCAATGTTGTACACTGTCCATTTATTTGACCCCTTAAAACTCAGTAATAGTACTCTGGACCCTTAAATATTACACCCTGATCCCCTGACCCTCTGAGTCCCCTTCAGGAATTAAATTAAAAAAATGCCAAAAGGGTACAAAATGGTTCCCTTTTTCAATGTCCAAACATGATGCACCGTCGACATTAGCATTACCCAGTGTGCACCACGAAGAGGTTGTTCGATCGGATTTTGCACACCATGTGGCCCTGAAAAGGGCCGTTTTTTTAGTTCTCTCTATTCGGCCATAAGAATTTCAATATTCATATTGTCTTGATGCCCTCTATTAGCGGCATCTCTGGTCGTATTTAGAAGAGTGCCATCCGAATATTTGGCATGCCTTTGATGACCAGCAAATCCTAAAAACCTTAATCACTTGCAATATGTGCGCATGTACCCAATGTTTTGGCACCAGGTTGACAGGTGCAGTAGTAACCATTTATTATTTCCTGTTCTAGTTCCAGTTCATTTTCGGGACTGTGAGAAATAAGAACTTGATGTTTGGTACAATTCCGAAATTGTGAATAAACTTTTAGTCTTCTAAGGCTGATATCTACCAACGAAGTATTAATCTGCAATTCATCGTCACCATCTTTTTGCAGCAGAGGGTCAGGGGGTCAGAGGGTAATATTTAAGGGCCCACAGTACTACTATTGAGTTTTAAGGGGTCAAATAAATGGACAGTGTACAACAGTGCTTCTTACACTCAAATATGCTCAAACGTGGTAGTCTAGAATAAGGCGCACTATTATTGACTTTTGATTCCCCGTATCTCGGAAACTGTTCAATTTACGAGCTTGGGCCTGTTGGAACTTTTTATCAAAACATAATGAACTACATCATATCAAAAGTTCAGCTAATTTAACCGGGGCCATTTTCCATAAGATCTGTACGGGGTTCTTTATTGTGCTAAATCAAAATTGAACTGATCATTCATATCGTTATAAAACTTTGCTAGATTATTCGTCGACCACGTGGCGTCAGCCATTGTGGTAATCGTTCCCATTCATCAAATTCAATTGCAATCAATTCAGCATTTGTTTACTTATTTTTTCTTACAATATATTTTTTATATTTTTTCTAATTTGCAATTGTATTCAACAATTTATTCGTTATTCCAATCTATTTTCCACGACAGCCATCTATTTGACTAACATCTCAAACAAGTCTATATAATTACATTTATTGTCCACGTGTTTGAATCCGACCATACGCCTCTCACCATCCTCGACAATCCTCACAGTTTAACAT